ATAGTTGAGGTCAACATTCAATAAAAAAGTTTATCGAGCGTTGCTACAGACAGATTGAAAGAATAGTTATATAACTTTGAGTCTATAGGAAATCCTCAACATATGACTGGTTGTTTTATATTTGGAGTTACGATGGCCTCAAAGAAGGTACTTTACAGCCCATAAAGCACTTCTGTCCATCATAAAATGTTTTGTCCCAACCCTGCAGTCATGTGATCGCATTTTGGGCACTTGGAAACTGGCTTGTGCTCTTTTTTGCTGATTTCCGGCTGAACAAAACAAAACAAAAACACCCATTCTGAAAAATGTTTTTGCTTAATGACCATTCGCTTAACAATTGCAGCAAAAATGTTGAAAAAAAATGAATCTGATTATGTGGGTGCCTTGACTTGCGACTGCAATGACTTACGATTGGATTTCTAGTCCCAATTGTGGACTAGACTACCACAGGACTACCTGTACTTTTTTCCTTCTCCTATACCAAATTTAAGTGGTGGGATGGAAATAATGGATTTTGCATTACTGTACCAGATTCAAATTCTGACAACTCTGTATAGGAACTGGGAAGCAGTCCTAACCTGGAGAGCCACTGTTAATCAGTAGAGAGCTGGCTGGATCAATGCTCAGAATCAGAAATGTCCTACCAATATATAGTTCATGAAATTACCATCCATTCCTCCCTCACCATTTCATTCCATTTTCCTTATATTTTTAGATCATTAGCTTAAGTACAGGGTTATCTGATTATTGATTTTTATAAGCTGCCTTGTTTTTGGCTAAAGAATTGGGTAAAAATTGTAGAATTATGTGTTTACCTCTCTGCATTTACTCAGCATTCCTTATTCTATGAGTGATGTCTTTTATTTATTTATTTATTTATATGCCGCCCTTCTCCAGAGACTCAGGGCGGCTTACAAGGCATTAAGCAATAGCCTTCATACTTTTGTATATTTTATACAAAGTCAGCTTATTGCCCCCACAACCGGGTCCTCATTTTACCTACCTTAGAAAGGATGAAAGGCTGAGTCAACCTTGAGCCTGGTGAGAATTGAACTCGCAGTAATTGCAGGCAGCTGGAAGCTAAATACTACCTTTTAACAGTAGCATTAGTCTGCTGCGCCACTCAGGCTCCTTAAATGTCTTAAAGTTACTGAATTATATTCTTGCTTTGGCCACAGTATTTATTTAAACTACAAAGGTCATCTAAGTAGAAACTAATACTTTTTGTACTCTGATCTGTAAGAGCAAAAACTAGAGTAGCAGAGCCAAACAAATAACTCTGAGATAAGAAAAAAAAAAAATAGAGTGAGAACGAGGAAATAAATTGAGGGATTAATATAGTTATTAAAACGAACTCAGTTATAGCCTTTTAAGTATCCACATATGCATATGATAAGTAAATAGATAAAACCAGTGAAAGAATTATGACTTCCTAGCTTGGCCAAATAAATATTATACTGCTTTTTTCTAGTGTAGCTATTGCATGAAGTGAATCCCAATTCAACCTAAGCAAATTTATGGTTTCTAAGAATAACATAGCTCAAACAGTAGACAATGGTGTTACATAGACTGCATCAAATATACAAAATTATGACAACCGCTGCATATTTAAAAACAAGAGGAATGGCTCTAAATTGAATTAGCATTCAAGAAATAATTGATCTGGATCCCATTTGCTATACACTATAAATTCAATATATACACTATAAATTCAAAATATTCAAAAGTTCCCTTTCATTAAGGGACTTATTAAGTTGAGGGATTAATATAGTGATGATAATAATATAGAGAGAAAAATAAATCAGGATCTCTTTCTTTAGAGATATGTACTGATATTTTATTGAAATCAGATTAGCAGAAGAGAAATTCTTCAGAAATTTGAGCAGGAGAATTTTCTTAGTTTATAATGTTAGGAAACAATGTTTTAATGAAAAAAATTAAAATTGCTATTAACAGTAATTGATCGGCTGAAAGTTTAAGAGTTTGAGATTATATCTTTCATTGGGTACATTCTCTGTTCTTCATAGGAATTAAAATTAATGTTAACTGTAAAATTAATTGATTATTTAAAGTACATATGTAAGAACAGGTAAAGGATACATGTAAAAATCTAATTATAGAAAATTAATTTAGTCACTATTTTAAGTGTTTATTTATTTTTAAAGAATGTCAAGCTTTTAGGACTAGCAAATCAGGATTTTTAAAACCAAGCTGTTGTAAACCAGTATGGAAATTCAAGTTAGACAAATCTGTTCACAGTATATTTTTATGTATGTCATAAACAATGCCTCTGAAATGCAGGGCACAACAACACAGAGGAAATAGCAATCATTAACATTTATTTATTTCCATATCAGTTTTCAGGAATGGCAGTATGTCAAATCCCACTGCCATCAGGTGCAATTCACTGACTGTCTAGTCTAGGCAATAGATTGGCTTTCAATCATTGAAGCCTTCAAACACTGCAATCAGTTGCAAACCAGGAGAAAATTTACTCCACCCTGTTTGACTGGACTCTTCTGAGTTCTGCTGTATCTGCATTTTAATTTTAGAAAGATTGGGAGTTTAAGACACTGGGATCCATGATTTCTGTCACCTTCTCTGCAGCGGTTTTTGTAATATATTCAAAAATTCCTTGAAAAATAGCCTAGAAATATCATAGCCAACAGCCTGGTAATTTGGTGCACACAGTGAATGAAGCAGTATAGGTACAGAGCTGCCTAAAGAAAGCCCAAGGCCTAGTCCTCCCTAAATCTTTGGTCTCACTTATATGACAGAATAACCCAAGGGAGGGCCAATAGTTGTTAAAGGCACCAAGATAGAAAGCAGGAGACTATGAATTCTAGTCCTCTTCTATTGCTAGAAATCAAGATTGACTTGAAGACAATTTTGGGAGCACAAAAATAAGAGAGCCAAGGACAATGTCAGAAATGTAATTAGGCTCATTTCTAATATCTACAAGGAAAAATGTTTTTATAGAGCAGCATTCCATCCTATGATACACAACACTGCAGTCTGAAGTAGCAAATCCTAAATTTCACATTTATGTGAAAACTAGGTCAACTGAATACACAGATTTATTAAAATAAAAATAAAATAAAATATGACTACAGTTAAGAATTCCATTAACATCACAATTCTCCCGAATAACTATTGAACTTTATGGGGAATTGATATTTTTAGAGATTGCTATCATCAAACTATGCATAGATGGATGAGAACTACCTTACTGCTATATGCCCCTTTAGATAGAATCTCTGCCTCTGCCTCCTGTTAACTTACAGAAACAGGTACAAGTATAGTAATGAGAAAATTGTTTGCTGTTATATCAATAACTGCTTTCTTCACATCAAACCCCATATCTAATTCATACCCTGCTCTAACCCATGGCTTATTTAATTGTGAAATGTTGAAGTCAACATGGTGGTCTAAGTTGTCTTGAAGATTCATACCCTCTAAAGGCCCCACCTCTGAGTTGTCTGTGGCTCCATTTCTTCTCCTCTTCAAGGTTTCTGCCTATGTGCTTGTTCACTGTGTTGTTGGTACAGAATGGATGGGCCCATGAGTGTCACTAAGGGTCACTAAGAGTGGTACTCAGGAGGATGAGTAACCAGCTAACTGTGATGGTAGTGGGACGACAGAGACCCATGGAAAAAGGAACCATCCCCTCTTGATCTTATTTTTTCCAAAAATTACCCTAATCATTAAGCTGGAACTGTGGCTAATACGGGGAATCTGTGATTGTTCAATGATATTGAAGTATAATTCCCAGCAGCCAGCCCAGCATCCCTAATGTTGAGGGATGAGAAAAGTGTTACGACTCAGCAACAAATGTAGTGCAACAGGCTCCTGGGAAGAAAAAGCTATCTTCAAAAGCAAGTATTTACTTTTGATTTTTGTTAAAATAATAGCAAAGTGATGGTTACAATTTATCCCTTATATCTTTATTTGCCACAAGCTCACAATATCAGTAGTGAGTGACAATTTTAAATATGGATTGCAGAATTCAAGTAAGATACTAAGATAAATCTTATCAAAAAAAATATCCTGTCATTATCCTGTAAGTTCATGGCTTATCACTTCAAGTATTTCAGGGTATTAAATCTCTTCTGGGTGCTCCAATGCCTTTTGAGGCAATACACAGTCATTTCTCTTTCTCTCTCCCCTCCCGGATATATACACAGCCTTTACACTACTTTTTTTCAGTTGATCATGTTATGTAAAGGCCAGAAAAAGAGTAAGATATACTTAAATAAAAAAGTTAGACAGAGAAGACAAGAAAAAAAATACAACTAGAATTATTTTACATCATAAAGTTTCCCATTAGATCAAGTAAAGGTTGGTTTAATATTTGGCAAAGAATGTTCTGACTTCTGTGGTTGGATAACTTTTATAATTTAATCTTTAGGTTTGATGAAATTAGCATATGCTCATTGTTTAAGTATTGGTATTATTGAATTCTAATATCCTTGTAGAGTAGTAGAAGCTAAACTATCAAATAATATCAGTGTGAATTAATATTTAACTTGAGCAAATTGGGAATTAATTTTCCTATATTTTGTCTCAGATAATTCTGGACTGAAGAACATGTTTAAACAATGTAAATCCCAAAGCTATTAGTTATTGCTGTTTCAATTTCAGCACAATGGCAAAATTTTAATTTAAAATGGTAATTATGCCAGGATTTAGATACTGAAAATGAAAGGATCCAATTGCTATGAAGGAGTTCCTCATCTGAAGTTTATGTTTATATAAAACATAAACCTGAATTTAAAGATACTGTTGTAATAAAAATGTGCCTGATGTTTCTGAAGTTGAAGGAAACATTTAAAAAAGACTATACTTTGCTGCTTGCAGAAGAAATACTGGCAAATTTTGAATCAATTAAAGGGACAGAAGTAAACAAAATTAGAGTGAAATATTATAAAACATAATGAAATCAAAGTAGGTTGTAACCAGCAGCATGCAGTGGGGTTGCTTTGCTGTTTACATCAATTTACCTTCTTGGGAGAGAACAATAAACTTTGATGATTTGATGACTTTGCCATCCAGAGTCCAGATGATAGTAGCAGGTGGATCTGAGGAAACCTGACATTGCAAGACCAGTTTTTCACCTTCTACTACTTTGGTATCCTGAAGCTTTTCAGTAAAGGATGGTGCTATTCCCTCAGGCTCTATTTTGTTATCTTTTCCTTTATTTTCAGTTATCCGTCCATCTACTTCTGGTGGGCAGTCACCTTTGCAATTACTGTCATTCTTACTCTCTTTCTCCCTTGATTTAACATGTGACTTTTCAGAGTTGGAGTTAGTAACTTGGTTTTCATTCTTGGTGCTAGCATTCTGTGTTTTATATCTAGAGCTGGTATCCTGGGACTCTGAAACGGTGCTGGTCTTTGGTAATTTAGAAGTAGCATTGACAGCGTCCAACTTCTTGGATGTCACAGGATTTTTAGAGGTGATGCTGATGTCTGGCACTTTGTTGCTGGCACTAGATTTCTGCACTTCAGAGTTGGCATTCACATTCTGGACTTGAGTCCCAGGGCCACCGTTCTCAGTTGGTGTTTTTTTCTTCGCAGCAAGCACAGATCTAAAATCTGGGGCGCTTGGCTTTGAACCTGCTGCCTTGTCTGGTAAGGAAGGTTTAGGAGTGCCCTTTTTTGCCAATACTCCACGAAAGTCTACCTGTTGTGGAGCATGGACCTTCCTTTCTTCTTCTGAAAAGGTTTTCGGCTTGACCTGCCGTTGCAGGGTACCACGGAAGTCCATTTGTTTGGCTGGGATTTCCTTCAACTCCTCCTCAGAAAAACTTTTGGTGTTAACTTTCTTTGCCAAAATGTCCCGGAAGTCAATCTGCTCAGCCTCCTGTTGCCTTAGCTTTTCCTCTGTGCTCTCTCGGGTTTCTACTCGTCTTTTAAGCACTCCACGGACAATTTCCTGCTCTTCCTCAACTTGCTGGCCTTCCCCAGTATTCCTCCTGAAGGAGCCACTGATGTTTCTGAATGTCAGTGCATCCTCTCCACAATCAGCCTCTTGTCGTACTTTCTGCCTCCCACTGTAAGCAGAGAAGGGTTTGAGAGGGAGAGAGGAAGGGGCGGGAAAAGAGAAAGAGGGGGAGCAAAGAGCTGGTTTAATGAATTCAGGAATCACCCCCTCAGAGAAAGGACAAAATATGTTTATAGAAGGGAAGGCTGATTAGAGGAATAGTTTATTGCATCAATGATGACTTCAGGAACCATATAAGGGAACTAAATTTTTAAAAAAGTGCTCCACATTGTCAGCTGTATGATAAAAACAGCTTGTTGGGTCACATTTGGGGATTAGATTGAACAGCAGCCAACCCAAGTCTACAAGGAAAGAGAATTAGCTGAGCAAAAAATAAAACCCACCCACATAAGTCCCTGGGAACTGTACTCACTTTTTTTGTACTCCTTCTGTGGAAAATGGACTTTCTCCCAGCGTCAAAGATACCTGACAGTTGCATTCTCCAACAGGGTTTCTGAAAAAGTACAACAAACTGAGACTCAGCAAAAATTTAAAAAAAGGTTGCTTTCTGTTAGATAGTACACAGAAGAGATCAATCCTTCACTATGATGATTTTTTTTTGTTCCCCAGCCAAGCATCACAGTAGTAGATAGCTACTTCATCATCGGCTAGAAAGAAACATTATTCCTCATCCTACCCACCGCAAACTTTTCTCCTCAAAATAAAGCCATAGGTGGAAATCAGAAGAGAATATACCACTAAACAAGTAACTTGAAGAAAAGTAGACGAAGTGGGGTTTGGAAGGAAAAAAGTCGCTTTACAACATCTACATGCTTGTCCCAGTCTTTGTTTATACAAGACCAAGCTTTTAACTTTCCTCGCACCGAGACATTAAAAGCAGGGTCTCCTTTCCCTGCTCCTTCTTTTCCCTCACCCATCAAACAGTATAATCAACCCCCATGGACTGTTTCAGCCTGTGCATGTTTATATTTAAAAAAATAATAATAAAAGTGTCACCATATATGGTGCTGAGCCTTTATTCTTCCTTTTGCAGAGGAATGCCAGAGATGCCTGCAGAAAATGACTCCCATTAAAGTCATTAAAATACTTTCCCCTCTTCCCACCCGCCCCCAGGACCGTGTTACGCTTCATAGCAGATACATCTTCAAATGGTTCATCTCCCCAAGAGATGTAAAAAAAAAGGGGGGGGGGAACATAACTCAGATTGTGTAAACATTGCTACCACATCCTAAACAGCTTGCCATTTGATGAAAAAGGGCTTTCTCTGACAACTGCAAAGAAGAGGTGGACATTATATCAGATGGATTTTCAAGATTTTGCTATCCCAAAGCTAGATCAAAAAGTGCTTTTTAAAATTGTTTAAGAGAAATGCCTGTTCTACTTTCAGGCTTGCTGTACTTCAACAATCTTGTCAAAATAAAACACAACGCTTAAAGTCTGTAGAGATTCTCAGTCATCCAGGTCATGGTTGTCCCAAAGGTGCTTTTTCAGGAGGCAACTGGACTTTCTTGTTTTTTCTTTTGAAGACGTTTCACTTCTCATCCAAGAAGCTTCTTCAGCTCTGACAGGATAGTGGGGAATGGAAGGATTTATATTCCTTGCAGACAGCTGGTCATTTGCATCCTTTTAGAGGGTCGTTGAAGCACTTGGAGGTTTATCTGTGTCCTCAGTGTCACCTAAGTAGTGCTCCTGGTTCTTGTAGTCTGCATTTTTTCCTGTGGAAATCGATTCCTACTCCCACACCTTCAAAGGGTGTCCATAGCTAAGCATGTATGCTTAGTATGCTAAACAATTTTGGATGGATTATTTGAATATTAACTTCAATAAAGAGAACACATAACTATGAATAGTAAAATTTAAAAGTTACTCTGAAGGCTGCAAAAACAGGCACCCTTATCCTGGAGTAAAGCCTACCAAATATAGCGGAACACTTTTAACAAAGTTCCATTCAGAGGTGGAAAAAATGTGATCCCCCCCCCATCTGAATATTTTGCTAATAAAATAAAAAAGGTAGCATATGAAACCTTTTGTTTAAAGTATCCCAGGCCAAAACAGCCATGTAGATTAAACAAAATAAAAATTGTTACCCAAATAAGGGAATACATAAGTGCATTAAATAGTATGTAATGATATCAGTAAAAAGATGTGCAATTATATTTTTAAGACCATGCCAGAGAATACAGTTTTGCAGCTGATTAATCTTGGTTGAAAGGATTTTTTAAAGTTAGTTAAAACATTTCATATTTTGAAAGTGTAATTTTTAAAAGGATCTAAATTCAAACTCTACAGATAATTGCAATGTAACATTATAAATGCTTGATAAGACTCTTTGTAAGAACAAAATTCCTGAGTGGAAGTCTAATTAACACAATGCATTGTTATATATTTGGCAGATGAGATAACATCTGCATCTAGCATGTGAAAACTAGGGGGTTGAGGGGTCTTTTACTCAAATTTTTAGTTAAACTTTTAAGGGATTCTAGGGAGGGGGAGGGTTTGATTGGAATGCGGGTTGTGGGCATGGGCCCACTAAGGGGAGGGGCGGGCCTGGCAAGAAAGCACGGCGTGGGAGGTGGGGATCCCGGGGTCGAGGGGGGAATCAGAGTTTGTCCGGATAGTGCTTTGAACATCACTACCGTGAGTGGGAGGGGTAGATATGGCAGGAGTAGGGGGCCATATCGAGTTAGGGGAGTGCACACCCGCTGTTTACGAGCGGTGGTGCGCTCCGGCCCCCAAGGCTCCACCCATTCCCCAGGTTGCACAGACCCTCAGGGTCCGGCCCTCCAGCTGATGCTGTGCAATGCCAGGTCCGTAGTAAATAAAGCCCCACTCATCTGTGACTTAATTGGTGAGGGGGGAGCGGACCTGGCAGGTATTACGGAGACCTGGTTCGGCCAGGAGGGGGGGTTCCCCTCGTGGAAATGTGCCCGCCAGGTTTCCTTGCATTCCATCGGCCGAGGTCACAGGGCAGGGGCGGGGGAGTAGCGGTTATTATTAAAGAAGGTCTGAGACCGAGGGAGGCCACTGTTCCTCAGATGGCCGGCTGTGAGTCCCTCCTTGTGAAGTGGGGTCATGGGGTTCAGATGGGCTTGCTGATCGCGTACCTGGCTCCCTGCCACGTGGCAGCAGCCCTGCCCAAGCTCGACGTTATCGCCGCGGTGGCGGTTGATACCCCCAGACTTATGGTCATGGGGGATTTCAACCTGCCATCTGTGGGTGAGACGTCGGAGGTGGCTTGGGAGTTCATGGCTTCCATGACAGCTATGGACCTGACCCAGTTAATTCATGGCCCTACCCACACAGGGGGAAACACGCTGGACTGATTTTTGTCTCTGGTTGAGTGATCTTGAGATAGGGGATATAGTCACCGAGCCCTTGTCATGGTCAGATCACTCTCTCCTTTGCCTTGACCTTCGAACTGCTATACCCCGTCGCAGGGAGGCGGAGCCGGCAAGATTGTTCCACCCCAGGCGCCTGATGGAACCTGATAGATTCCAGATGGAGCTTGGGCCATTTCCTGAGGCTCTGGCATACACCTCGACTAGGGACCTAGTGGCCGCCTGGGATAGGGCGGCCGCTGGAGCTCTAGATTGGGTCGTGCTTTTGCGGCCTCTGACCCGGCGCCGATCTCACCTAACTCCTTGGTTCACTGAGGAGCTGAGGGAGATGAAGCGGTGGAACAGACGCCTAGAGAGTAGTTGGAGGGCCAGGCTTTCTGAATCCGACCGGACACTGGTAAGATCTCATATTAGGAATTACCTAGTGGCAATAAAAGCAGCAAAATGTACATATTTTGCTGCTCTTATTGCATCATCAGATAATCGCCCGGCCGCTCTGTTTTGGGTGACCTGCTCCCTGCTCCACCAGGAAGCGCGGGAGGACCCCTTGGAGGGTAGAGCCGAGGATTTTGTTCAATATCTGTATGAAAAAATCACTCAGATTCGGAAAGATCTGGACTCCGACTTGGCAGTTCCAGGGGGGTTGACTGAGGCAGGTCTTGAGAATGTTATCTGGGATGAGTTTGATCCTGTGACCCCTGACGACGTGGACAGGATTCTGGGTGGACTGAACGCGACCACATGTTTATTGGACCCGTGCCCCTTCTGGTTAGTGCTGGCTTCCCGGGAGGTGACGCAAGGCTGGCTCCAGGGGATTATAAATGCTTCGTTGGGTGAGGGTGACTTCCCTGCCGCCTTGAAAGAGGCAGTGGTGAGGCCTCTCCTCAAGAAGCCTTCCCTGGACCTGGCAGTGTTGTCTAATTATCGTCCGGTCTCCAACCTTCATCTTGTTGCGAAGGTTGTTGAGAATGTGGTTGCGCGACAGCTCCCCCAGTACCTGGATGAAACGACGTATCTGGATCCGTTCCAGTCGGGCTTCAGGCCTGGGTACAGCACGGAAATGGCATTGGTCGCATTGGTCGATGATCTCTGGAGGGCTCGGGACAGGGGTTGTTCCTCTGTCCTGGTCCTATTAGACCTCTCAACGGCTTTTGATACCATCGACCATGGTATCATGCTGCACCGGTTGGAAGAGTTAGGGGTGGGGGGCACTGTACTATGGTGGTTCTCCTCCTTTCTCTCCAACTGGTTACAGTCTGTGTTGGCAGGGGTGCAGAGGTCGACTCCGAGGCCCCTCATATGTGGGGTGCCACAAGGGTCGGTCCTCTCGCCCCTTTTGTTCAACGTTTATGTAAAGCCGCTGGGCGAGATCATCCGTGGTTTCGGGGTGAAGTACCATCAGTACGCTGATGACACCCAGCTGTATATCTCCACCCCGGACCACCCCAACGATGCCCTTGAAGTGATGTCCCAGTGTCTGGAGGCCGTGCGGATCTGGATGGGTAGGAACAGGCTCAGGCTCAACCCATCGAAGACCGAGTGGCTGTGGTTTCCGACGTCCCGATATAGTCAGTTGACGCCATCGCTGATTATTGGGGGTGAATTGCTGGCCCCCACGGAGAGGGCTCGCAACTTGGGTGTCCTCCTGGATTCATGGCTGTCTTTAGAAGAGCACTTGACGGCCATGACCGGGAGGATTTTTCATCAGGTTCACCTGATTCACCAGTTGCGTCCCTTTCTGGATCGGGACTCCCTACACACAGTCACTCATGCCCTCGTCACTTCCCGCCTGGACTACTGCAACGCTCTCTACATGGGGCTCCCCTTGAGGAGCACCGGAGGCTCCAAGTGGCGCAGAGTGCGGCCGCGTGGGTGGTTACGGGAGCAACATGGCGCTCCCGTGTGACACCTCTCCTGCGCGAGCTGCACTGGCTCCCGGTGGTCTTCTGGGTGCGCTTCAAGGTTTTGGTTACCACCTTTAGAGCGCTCCATGGCTTAGGACCTGGTTATTTACAGGACCGCCTACTACCACAAGCAGCCTCCCACCAGTCGGTACGGTCTCATAGAGAGGGGCTCCTCTGGGTGCCGTAAGCTAAACAATGTCGACTGGTGGCCCCCAGGGGGTGGGCCTTCTCTGTGGGGACACCCACTATCTGGAACAAGCTCCCCCCAGAGATACAGAGGATCCCGGATCTACGCACTTTCCGCCATGCTCTTAAGATTCTCCTATTCCAGCAAGCCGGCCTGGCCTAATTTTCTCCCCTGGTTTAAAATTCTTTTAAATCGAAATTTTAATGTGTTTTAAATTATTGGGTTTTTTAATTGTCTCGGGCTAAATTATTTAATCTGGTTTTAATTATGTCTTTTAACTTTTGTATCTATGTATTTTATTTTGTGCCTGTTCACCGCCCTGAGTCCTTCGGGAGTAGGGCGGTATATAAATCTAATAAAACAACCAAAACAAAACAAACAAACAACATCTGTTCATTCACAAGTCTCTTTCTTGGCAAGGTTTTTCAAAAGTGGTTTGCCATTGCCTTCTTCCTATGGCTGAGAGAAAGAAACTGGCCCAAGGCCACCCAAAAGGCTTTGTGCCTAAGGCAGTGCTAGAATTTATGGTGGTCTGATTTTTAGCCTGATGCCTTAACCACAACACCATTGCCCCCCAATATAGTAAATATCGAAGGTATTCTTAGATCCTACTTTCTTTCAGCTCCAACCCTTTCTGGACTGGTATAAATCCAAGTGACTTTAATTGAATTCCTATAATGTACTTTATGTATAATCATTTGATCTTTCTTGTAGACCACTTTGGTATCTCTGGTATTATTATTAGTTGTAATACTATTAAAGTAGCATTTATTAAAATATTTTCAGACAATAATTTTTTTTTTGATGGGTGTGTTGATGAACAATCTAAAACTTCAAGAAGGGGTCAATGAGCTGAAGAGTTTGGGGATCCAAACTCTTAGCTGGCACAGGTGAGCTAATTTCACAGGGGACCAGACTGAAGTTAAATATATTTTTCAGATGTTTCACTCTGGAAGCAACCTCAATGGAGACATCTTCTGTTCATAAGACAATTGTTCTGGATGGCAGCGAGTTAGATGTTTCATTTGGTTTTAGCCGTTATGATGAGAGGATACATAGGAAGAGAGCCACCATGTTACTCTCTGGTGGCAACAAAATCAGTATTCTGATAACACCTTTTATTAAAAGGCATGGACTTTTGTGAATTGCAACTCATTTCATCCAATACATGGAGTGGTTATACTGATGTAGGAAGTTACACTAGAGTCGGGGGGGGATCAGATTGATTGTACAAATAGGAGGATGCATGAAACTTGACAAGTGCAATCATGCAATTAATGATTTTAGAAGATCAGCCATTCAATATGGTGGAGGATTGGAATTCTGCCACCATTTGTATCTGATTTCCTCTGATTGACAGATCTTATCTGGTAATCCCCAAAGAGATAAAATCTCCAAACTCTTCAGCTCATTAACTTAACTTTCAGTGATGTAGGAAGATGTGTCAGAACTGCTAAGAGCAGCAGGTCCTAACTTTACATCCATATCCCTTCAAACATTTGGTCCAACTGAGTGTATACCATTCTTTCCTCTCTCACAATGTGCACTGATGGGACAGTGGTCAGAATGAGGGGATTTCTTCCACCACTTTCTTAATCAACTGCATATTTCCTGACCCAAGGTAGCCCACCATGGGAGCCAGGAAAAACATCAGCTTCATTAAGAAGCCAAAAGATGCAGCAAGAGTACTTATGTCAGATCTACAGATCCAAATATGCCACACTGTTAGTTTTTATATGCAGTATGAAGTATCTTCATCCTCAAAGGCACCCTGGAGGCTCCATAAAACAGGACAAAAGAGTGAGCAGCATACATGAGCAGCTAAACTCAGCAAGCATTCATCAACAGAATTTGACTGACTGCTTTTCAAAATGTCTACATTAGCGGCTTATTTAACCTGGTCGACTCATTTTGCAGTTTTTGACTTTGGGTGCATTTGAAAAGCAGAGTAATTCTGGCTCTTGGGTTTTTTGTTTGTTTTGTTTTGTTTTGTTTTAAGTTTGGTGTCAGTCTTTATTTGTTCTCTGCCCATTCTGCCCCCTACATTCTCTCATGCCCTTTTTGTTTATGGAGACTTCAAAGTGCACTTAAGAATATAAAAAGACTCTCTACTGGTTGGCTGTTTAGCTTAAATATGTATTAACTCAGTCCAGGCTGTGGTCCATAGTATGGTTATAAAAGCCAGTTTTAACTAGTTGATTTGACATGTTACAGTTTTAGCCTTTAGTGCTTTAAGCCTGAAAACAAAAGAGGCTGAGCAAAGATATATGCATGAATTATGACTCCTGGCTATTCTTTTGTTCTGAATGCTACTGAAAATGTCCATTTCAGATGCAAATGAGAGTAGCCAGGGAAGGCTGTCCTATTCTCTCTCTCTCTCTCTCCCTCCCTCTCTCTCTTTCTCTCTCCCTCCCTCTCTCAAGAAATCCCTCTTTTGTTTTTCTTTCACTATTGCTTGTTCTATAGATTAAAAAGCATTGTTTTAATCAATCAGATTAAAATGTTTTTGTGTGTGCAACCAGCTGGTGGGGGATGTGGGGGAGGAACCTTTTAAATACTGGGGAAGAGGGAGAACATTGACTAATATTCCTGGGTATCTGCCAAGATTTGGTAAAGCACTTCTGTGTTCGCATTCCTTTTAGTTTCAACACTCCAAGTTCTGGGTAAGTGAGAATTAAGGCTACCTTGCAGATCTCCAGCCAGTCAGTGAGGGGGTAGACTACCCGTGTATGACTTTTGGCTGATCCAGATTTTTTGCAGTTCGAATTCAGAATCCCACTGTTCCCATGGTAGAAATATCAAAGCTGTTCTAGCAAAAATGTAAATTAACCAAAACATTAAAAAAAAAAAATTTTTTCTGAAAAATTATGTTCATCCATAACACGTTAACCATACTTCCACCACACAAAGTTTTGTTCAAATATTGTATTTTGTGTATCACAATTGCCTCCAATGGACAATGTTTCGAAGCATTCTCCTGAGAGAAGGATTTCTTAGTTGTGGGACCTTCACTCTAGAATCCTCTGGGTGTGCCTGTTTCTTTCAGGATTTGAGTTTCATCTATCACTGAAAGCATCCATTTTAATGCAAGCCTTTGATTCTCCTGAGTGCTGCCTAATTGACTGCTTTATGAGAAAAGGAAGAATAAATAAACACATAGGATCACATGTGAATTGCAGATTGAATGTTAAAAAAATTATTAGAGGTAAACAAATTAATAAAGAAGCTAAGAATAGGCCAGGAGAGCAACTTTGTAGTGAAGAGAATATTGACTGTTTCAATAGTTTAATATGAAATCCATATGGCAACTAATGTAGGCACTGACATCTAGGAACCCATAGGCAATATATAATGAACACACTTGCTTGAAAGCAAAGACCAATAGAAACAAAATGCCTTATCATTCAAGTTTAGATGACTGAATGAGCTCCTCCTCCTATAAATATATACTTCCCTTGACACACCTGAGTTGTATTTCATACTGGCCAGCATGACAAGGTTCAATATTCCTTATAATCAAGGTAAAGATGTCTTCATTTTGTAGGAATTCATAGCCTGCTTCTGTCGTTAGTTCCTCTCCATCTTTGAACCAATGAACTGTGGGGAATGGATCTCCAGCAATGGCACAAGAAATAATGACGTTCTGCCCCACTACTGCTCTCACTGACTGTGGTTTGCTAATAAACCATGGCTGAATACCATCCTGAGGTTCTGCAACACAAAGAAAAAATGTTAAGACAGGCAGGGAGAAAATCTAATAGCACTGGTGGAATCGCTTGTGCTGAATTTCATTTAGCTTTCGACAAACCATTTTATGGATATTTTGCTTTGGATGCATATTCTGAATTGAGAACCTCTTCACAATATTCTGGCTAGTGTAGTAGCAGAAGGAGTAATCTTTGGCAATTCTCTACATGGCAGAAGTAGTCAGCATATACTTTCCTCAATGGTCATGCCTACCACAGCAGCCATTTGTGAAAGTGCAAAGAAACTTATAAAATGCTACGTTCTGAAATATGGAGTAAGGGATCATGTCACTTCATTTTAAGTTTTCTTTCACTTTTTTTTCATCATGAGTTAGTAGGTCACTCTTCAGAATACGAAAAGTTTAAATTCAGACTTTATCATGAGTCACTTTGTACAACATGCAGAAAACTTGCAAGTTATGTACATATCCATCCATCCCTTTTCTTGGGGAAGCTAACAATACTTCAAATAATTTCCATCTGAATAGTTAAGTGTTTGCTGTAACAAAAGTTTCCATAATAGCTACAGCAACAGCATGTCTAATGTGATTGCAAATCCTTCTTTCCTCAGAAGGAAAGATTTTGAGGGGGGGAAAAAGGCAAGTGAACACATTATTTTCTCTAGGGTAAAGAGATGGTAGCTCAGTCATTTCAAATGTGTTTGACTTTATAAAAAGTTTCCCGGTGGATCTCCACGTTTCTTTTGCTTCCAAAAAATCTGAAGTCTTTAAAACAAAAAGCAACAACCCAGATGGTACTTTGTGTACTTAAAAAAACAAAACAAAAAAAAAACTGGTCTGCTGTGGGCTGGAGAGAATGTTTAAGTAAATAAACTGAAGAAAGATAAATATAGTCCATGGTTGTTTTAAATACCTAGACAAATTAAAAATTGGAAAAGGAAGGCTTGAAATCTCAAAAAAAAAAAAAATCAGTACCTGGCATCCTAAAATTCTGATGTGAAATTTACAATAATATATTATTAAATAAAATTGAGATTGCTTCACATACTCTAGAGTAAAGACAGCAAGGGATCTTAACTGAGTGTTATTCCCTTGTATAGAACAATCTCAGGAGGAGACATTTGTGTCTTCAGTTATCTTTGTAGCTGTTCATTTTGCTATTTTTATAGCCTTAGTAATAAATAAATCCAAAAGAATGCAAGTTTTCCAAAACCCTGAAGTAGCTTTCTTTAACCTAGTGCCCTCCAGATGCATTGGATTAGAATTCTATACCTGTATGGGCTGAAGACTGGGATTTGTCTATCATATCTGAGGATAATAGGTGAGGGAAAAACAGTGTACAATGTCATTAACAAGCTCTGAATATTTACCCAAAATATTTAATCATAACTCGTCTGCAGATATTCTGATTGCCAAAATCTCTCTATTGGCCCTGATCAGCTGCACACCGAAATACTTAATTGCATATAAAAATGTTTATATAGCAAGAGTTTAATTATTAACTCCTTCTCATCTACTGTGAATCTTGGGGTATGTTCCATAAACTATCTTCACTGTTTCATTATTATTTACTCCATCAATATTCTCTGCAAGGGGACGGGGTAGCCAGAAGTAAAGAAACTGAGAAAGAAAGAGGGAGAGTGGGAAAAGAGCAAAGGGAGTGGCTTCATTCACTTTGCTTTGGACCTCCACTCCCATGCATGCAAGCCATGGTAAAGTATTCCTTAAAAGTACATAACCTTAGGACCTGGTTATCTACGGGACCGCCTACTACCACCAACAGCCTCCCACCGACCAGTACGCTCCCACAGAGAAGGGCTCCTCCAGGTGCCGTCGGCCAAACAATGTCGGCTGTCGGCCCCTAGGGGGAGAGCCTTCTCTGTGGGGGCACTGACGATCTGGAATGAGCTCCCCCCAGAGATACGGAGGATCCCGGATCTGCGCACCTTCTGCCGCGAGTTGAAGACGCTTTTATTTCATCAAGCGGGCCTCGCCTAAATCTTCTCCCTTTTAAATGTAAATTTTAAATTTTTAATATATTTTAAAATTAGGGGTATTTTAAATTATGGGTATTAATTCAGCCAAATTTATTTAATTCATTTTTATTTGATTTTAAATTTTGTATATTTATGTGTTTTATTTCATGGCTGTACACTGCCCTGAGTCCTTCGGGAGTAGGGCGGTATAGAAATTCGATAAATAAATAAATAAATAAATAAAAAGAATTTGGGCCTTGATAAAATAATTCAATAGAAGTTTCCCATCCCTGCCCTAATACATAATATACATGGATGCATATTCGAATAAAGCATTTGTGCATACCTTTACTCTTTCCATATTCCCACAAGCATATTCATGCATCTGAGTGTCTCATTTTGGCTAAATAACATTTGCTTTCACTATGCATTTTGCTTTACTCTCTTCACAAAAATGCACTACCATCATTCACTATACTCACAATGGCTGGCTGCACTTCCTTTAGCTTTAGTATCATGGGCTTAGCTATTGTAACCTTAAGGCTCTTTTTGAAAGTGCTACACCATGAGTAGACTTCAGATCGGGTCACCTGTACAGCATCTTTTGGTAACCCTTCAAAGCAGCGGCGGCAGCCACTTTTCCCAGAACTGCTACAGTGCAATTCTGGGAAAAGACATATTTGGTTTCTGGAATTGCTGACAGACTGTCCATGCATGCAACATATGGGCTTCCTCTCTCTTTGCTTGTTTAGATTACTCAAAGCTATTATTTTATGGCCTGTAGTTTTCTAAACAAGTGAAATGTCCAAATTAGGTCATTAAGCACATGGCAGTATATTATTGCTATTTTGGTAATTAATAGACATAATTTCTATCTTTAAATATTCCATTCCATCAGGTGCTTGAGAAAATAAATGTAATTGCTTATAATTATACACACACAAAACCATTGTTTCACCCATAAATAAGAAAACAGTAGATAGAAATATACTAAATTGTAACCTGAACTTAAAATGTTGTATTCATAACCAAGTTTCTGAACTAGCTATTCAGTCAAATAGTCACATCCCTACGCTTCTACCTTCTACAGAAACACATTACAACCTTTTAGAAATCTATGTATTCTCATTTAATACTTTCTTTTCTGGTTTTAGAAATTAGAGTACATTCTTCCTAGTGAAGCAGAATGAAGGATAGGGCCAAATATCCATTAATATTGTATATAAAGGGAAACTATGGAGTTTCAGAGAGACAAGGAGGTTCTCGATTTTTTGAATACTTTCCTGTGTAGCTGTTAAACAATGCAGTGTGTGTGTGTGCGTGTGTGCGCACACGTGCATCCGCATACCTGTTGGCATGTAGACATAAAAACTTTACCTTGTACAGTCAGGGTTGCTTCAGTATGAATTCCTCCCAAGTCATTCCAGGCCTCACAGGTGTATTCTCCTGTGTCCTCAGGAAATACCTCTTGGATACAGAGGCGATACACATTGCCCTTCTTCTCAAAGTGAAAATCCTCTGTTTCCTGGATTTCTTTACCATTGTGAAGCCAAATTATTTCAGGGGGTGGATTAGCTGAGCCACAAAACAAAACAGAAGTCTTTGAGATAAAACAAAGGCAGCAGGGGAAGTCTATGAACTATTCTATTAGGCCAACTGCAACTATAAGATAAGGCAGAACAAGAAACTCACATGGACTTCCTGCTGCCATAACAATATTAAAAAAGTTCTATTCTGAGTAAAATACAGGGATATAATATAGAACATGTATATGTTAGTGAAATTTTATCTGAACATACTGTACATGCATGCACACACAGACCAATTCTTTGGCTTTAGTCACATTAATGCACCTGTGTCTGATCAATTATTATTTTATGGCTTCCTATCAAAAGCAAAATATGTGTTCAAACATACATATTATGTCCCAGAATTAATGGAACTGTCTTCCCCCATCCTTTTTTCTAATCTTCTAAAAAATGTCTTTTGTGAAAATAGAAATAATAGTTTCTTCACATGTGCTCTTGGGCACTTTTCTCATTGTGTGTTTTATTGTTTTGCACCCTATATAATCCTATTATTTAATAGAAAAACTGAGTTTTCACAAATCATTTCTTACTCTTCCATAGATCTAGAAGACAAAGGGTACTATTTATTTGTTTGTACTAATTTTATACCCTAACCCAAACAGGTCTGGCCAAGCTACAACAAAGCCCAAAGAGTGTACAAAAAAATGTAATATAATTAACATATTGAAGTTAACATAAGCATATTCCATTAAAAGAAGGCCATCGTTTTAAAATTGCATGAAAACATTCTAGCTTTTTCGCCATGGATTGCTTTTAACTCCCTTTCTTCTAATTTCAAGCACTTCTTTATTCTACAATGGCAGTGTATTTACCTTAGACTCTATTGGTTAAACTAAATAAGTAAACTTTTTAATGATAAAAAGTTTAAAAAAAAGAAAAAAAGGTAATAAATATGAACCGAAGGCAAAAAAACTGATTGATTGCAAAACAGAATAATACCCTTGTTAAAATTCTAAACAGTTTATTATTTCTTATTTAGTTCTATTTCTATATTGCCTTTCTCCCAAGTAGCCCATTAGAAAACACAAATATTTACCTGAAACTTCTACTGTCATAATCACTTGGCTTCCATCCATTACCTTGAGATCACTTAGGCCTTTCAGGAGGACTGGAGGAAAGGTTTTATTGGCTGCAACTGGATGTGCACTTTCTAGTTTAATTCTGCTCCTCTTTTCTGCTTAAATAAGGGACACAATGGTTTCCCATAAGGAACTCTTGTAAAAAGATTCAATTACTTTTATCAGAACACAACTTAATAGGATAGCACCATTTCCAATGTAGAAAGACTCAACGCTACTCATCAGAAATCTACATGAACAAGTATAACTCTACATTTACAGATCATTATTATTATTAATCAAGTATTTTAATTTAGTTAATGCAAAAACTTCTAAAGTAGTTATAGAACACATAACACCAACTTTATTATTTACACATCTTTGGTAAAGATAGAAGTAAAAAATAATATTACATCACATCCTAATTTTGGATCACTCTGTTGAGAAATTTTTTAAAAGATCTTTGCCATTCATTTTTTTCCCCTCGAAAGTTTGTATAAATAATGAGAACAATTATTCTTTCCTAAAGGATGCTATTTGGCTCAAATGTAACTAATGGCAATTAGTTTGAAAGTGTATTGAAAAAAGATGTCCAGGAGATTGAGATAGATTTTTTTTGCAGCTATTAGAATAGGAAATAATAAGAGCAGCATGGTGGCCTAGAGGTGAAGATGCTCACCTCCCACTCGGAAGGTTGAGAGTTCAGTCCTAGGGAGTGGCAGATGTTTCTTTAGCAAGGCGCAAAGAGAAAATATCTGGTGCAAACTCTGCATAGGCATCAGGAAGGCACCTGGCCAGTAAAATGCTCAGCTCCATTCAGTCGCCACGACTCCACCCCAAATAAAGGGATTAAAGGGTTGTAAAAAGAAAAAAAGTTTAATAAATAATAAAGACAATGAAAATTGGAGTGGGGAGGGAATGGGAGGCTGGGAATCATAGAGCGTAAAGGAGCAAATATTTTAGAAAGAATATAGTTTTCATACTATAGAATGTAGCTTATACTATATTTACATGGAAGAATTATATGCTGTTAAGAGAACTTAAGAAAGATAGCTATTTTATTGTTATGAAACTCAGTTCCATGATTGTTGCAATTAGTGGATTAAATCCCACCAAATTTGTGAAAATCATCTTCAGGCAGCCAAATTGACTTTAGATCAGGATGGAAAAGGTGTAGCCTTAGAACCCCATGCAGGTTATCAGCATCTCTTCTGGGCCTCCAGAGCACTCCTATTATCATGGTAATTAATTTGGGGGCAAATAATATCTCCAACTTGCAAATAAGCCTTATGTCCACTTAAGGCCCAAGACCTGTTTTAATCTCATCTATTTTTAGGGTACAACGATTGAACTGATTCAGTGGTGGGTTGTCCCCGGTTCGCACCGGTACTATAGAACCAGTAGTAAAACCAGCTGGAGGCTCCGCCCACTGACCCTGACGTCATCAAAATGCTTCTGCACATGTGCAGAAGAGCACATGCGCTAAGCCCCATTACAAACCACTAGTAAAGGTAAGTAGAACCCACCCCGATCTGATTCTTATGTAGACTGAAATTAGGAGCTTTCCATTTTAGTGAAAGGAAACAGTTTGACAAGCTGCTTTTTCTCCTATTTTCAGCAGCAGGAGAATTCAGCAGAAGGAATAACCTGACCTATAAATTCCAGAATATAACTTCACACAAATAAAAACATCCATGTAATTATTTTATGGCATATTATTCTCATTTAACACTTAGTTAGCTAGTATTTAAAACTGGCACACATATTGCATGTTAGGCTGACTGGTATGTCTTCCTAGAATTTTCTGGATGCTTTAGTCAGTATGGCTTAACTGGGCTCTTGGCCCAGACTCAGCCAAGTATGGCATGTCTAGCTAACAATTTTTTGCTTGCATACTACAAGAAGACACTTAAACAATTCTTTGTCCTTTGTCAAGATGAAGGTACAATTCTTTTTTTATACAGACTATAATTTAATTCCAATAATTCTTTCTCTTAGCCTTCCTATTGTTTAGTGAAGTTTTTTTGCCTTGTACTACTTAGCTTTGAAGCTAGATGATTAGTATTGTTGACATAGCTGCCATCTCTACCTTAGAAACTATGGCTCTCAACATCCACAAACTATTAATAGAACTAATTGGGTTATAATCTTTATGTGATGTTCAGGAAGAAAAATTATGAGTACTTTACATTTATTTCATGAGCACATAAAGACACTTAAGCAATGAAGCTTGCCATACATTTTTAAAAAGCTTTAAATATTCTATGGACGTATAAATGAACAGTGTTCAACGCTGCTTTTATATATTTATATCTATCTCCCTTGGTGTATGGGAATGTCAAATACGCATCTGAGAATATTTCTTTTCTCTTTATCCACCCAGTTGAGAAAAAAACCTTTATAAAAGAGGAGTAGGGTTATTTTGTTTTTGTATTGGGGTTTTATTTTTAGAAGTTGCTCAGAATTGGGTGGCAATATAATTATTTTTTAATAAGTAATAAATAAATCCAATGATCCATTAATGAATAAATGTTGATTTACCAAAGACATTTTAACTTCTACTGCTGTGGCTAGTAACAGACATGACTCCTTTCAAATTTATATTGAAACAGATTTTAATTAATAATTTCCATTATTACTTAGCCCATCTAAATATATTAAATAAATATTTTCATCCTGTTCTTTGAGGGGAAATTCTTCTCATCAAAGAATTGATGAATGTTGTCATTAAATCTCCTCTTTTGGTCAGTGGCTATTCTATATATTCTTAACACGCTGAAATGAGCAAGGCAATTATAAATGTGCCATGACAATGAAACAATCTTTATTCCAAAACCCATTGCTCAAGAATCAGTGAGTTATTCAGTAATAACTCACTAATAGTCACTGAGAACTGACACTGAAATCTGTATATTTTGCTTTTGAACTCAGTATAATTTACTTTTGAGTATAAAGGAGCAACATTAATAGAATACAGTTTTAACAAGAGAACAGGAAAGATTAATCCTAATTCTTTTTTAAAAAGTTGTATCTGTCATCTTACAACATGTTATCAAATACTTCCGCTCCCCCTTGCCCCATTTATATGTGTGTCTCTTCCTTTCGGTTTTAATACTTTGCACTCCAACCTTGGGTAGTTATAATGACACAGGATGTAGATTCCAATGAGAAAAGAAGAAGCAGCTTCTCCAATTACTAATCTAAAAATGGCCATGCTTAGTTTGAATGGTTAGAAATGGAAAAGGAAACTTCTAAATCATAAAAAGCATTTTTATTACACATAAAGTTCACAAACAACTTTCCCACAGCACTCCTTCTTACTTAATACAGCAGCTTGTTCATGAATGAAAAGGGCCAGCTTTTATTAGCATCCCGACTGTGAGTGGCATACAATGCTCCTTGAGTCAGCTCCCCAGAGATTTAGGTTCAAGTGCTTCTTCCAGAGAAATACTTTTTTCAGAATGTAGAAAATGCCCTCTGCTCTGCTTTACTTTCTTCTGCCCATATGACAGTTTCCCATGATCACAGCCAAAACTATCAGGAAATTGAAAGGATATTAATTCACGTGCCAATTTCAAGATTCTAACATTCCCCGTTCTGGGGACTGGTGTACTAAAATGGGAATGCATTAAAGTACCTTCCTAATGTTTCTTCACTTGCTTAACAATATACTTCAAGAACTCAAATTAGTATCTGACTGGCCAGCAGTCTGATTCATTCAACAATACAAATAGGGGAAGCCACCAATAATTGCTGCTAGCAACTCTTAGCCAATCAGTGGACTTCTACTGCTCTTAACATTGCATGTCATCAAAGAGTTAATATCTCAAAGACCCATGATTTGGTTCACATTTACTTTTATTCCCCACCCCATTTCAACTTCCAACACATCTTACATGGGTAGTTCTTTAAAGTAATCTCTTATTCATTTCTCATATGGCCACATTATGTTAAGTGCCTCTAAGCGTAAAGTATGGGGGGACAGGGACAAAGGAGAGGAGAAACTGCTATATATAATATGTAGATAGATCTCCTTCCCCAAACTCTTTTTTTACGGATAAACATATAACATAGTGTAAATGTGGAATGATTTCTAAGAATAGACAGAGAAAAATTCTCAGCTTTTTTTTTTAGATTTGAGGAATTCCCTGTTGTGCCCAAGAATGGCCAAATTTCTATTTTTAGCCTTTGAAAATTTCCTATGAATATTACTGTCATAAGTCCTTCTGTTCTCAAAACTTTAAGCAAGTCCTGAAAGCCTGAGAAATTGGCTACTTTTTTGGACATTTTTGTGGAAACCTCTGCACATATTAAAGGGGAAAGGAAGGGGGTGTGTGCATTCATTTCTTAATACTTATTCACAACTTTCTACACATTTTTCTTGTATCTAAGCCGACTGTGTTACCTATTTGCTTGTCCATCAAATGAATGGTTATCACTTCAGGAAATGAAGTCAAGACCTTTTCTCCTTTTATAATAGAAAACTCACAAATTTAAAACTAATCAAATAGTGGCTTTATTTTCTCATCAGTAAGTTCTAAAAAAATAAACAAAATCCAAATTTAGTACAACGGGGAATCATAATCCCTAATGTTTAGTTTCAGGAAAAGAGATTTAAATCTGCCAAAGGAGTCTGTTTGCCAGAGCTTTAGAATAAGGCAGCCAAATAATGCCTAGCCTGAATCCTTTGCAGACACACATGCTCAGCAATACTGACCATTTATGGTGATTAAAATATTGTGTTGGCTCCCAGTCTCATAAATCAACTGAGCTGCAGAAAAACACTTAACTCTCAAAGTGCTAGTTTGCTAAGCGTGCAGAGAAGTAGACATACAAATATTCATGAAGCCAAATCACTCAACCAGCATCTTTCAAATAAAATGTTCCACATTAGAGTTCAGCTCCATTCTGGTCTACATCTAGACATCCCCCCCCCTTACTTATGCTTTGATGCTGTTAATTCACAGGGAAGAAACAAGCTGCTTAACAGAACCCAAAATGCAAAGTCATTCTGTTTCTTGCTACAAAAAGTGTTTTTAAAACTGCAATCCCACAAACACACCTTGAAATTAAAAAGGTGTGATATGTGTAAGTTGTATTACAATCAACATAACATTCA